CTCTACAGCCAGTTAAAAAGATCTTTCTGTCATTTCTTAGGTCAGTTATTACTGATTTTTTTTTTACTATCGGCAAGCTAATTCGAGGCCAATTGAGAGGGTAGAAAGTCATGGTGTTTTCAGTGCCCGGTGGTCCTTGAGGGAGACGGAAGAAAGTGTGGGCCCGGGATATTCCTTCGGTCTGTCTTCCGACGTTGTCATTGGGTAGATATTAGCTAGTTTTGCACGACGTAGTACGGTGACCCTCAAATAATATTGTAGCTGGGTATTCTCGCTTTTCCTTTTGTCCAGCTGTCTGTGTTCATGTTAAGTATACATTGGCCAATTATGTACACCGAACGACAGTTTTTTTTGTGTGTGTGTGCGCGTGTGTGTATGTGTGCCTGTGTATATATGTATGTATGTATGTATGTGTGTATGTGCATTCACACTTAAACATTCAGTTAACAGTACAAACAAACAAACACATCCTTGCGTATTTTAACAAAATCTCTACAGACTTCGTTAAATAATGTTCACAATGTCAGTTACATCCTCTTCTCACCCATGCCATATTCATGTCACGTGGCCTGTAATTAGGATGAAATTAATTGTGTCATTTGTCATATCAGTTGCAAGAAAGCTAGCCACCGGAAAGAGGATGTATGGATGTATATTTATTTGTTGTATTTGCTGGGTTTGTATGTGCGGAAACATGATTGCTTATGTGTATGTACAGTCAGAGAAAAAAAAACAAAAAAAAAAACTATCGTTACGGTGCTAACTACTTTGCCTTGCTACTCCACACTACTTCGTTGATTTTTCATATTAATTTGTGCAAAGGGTATCGTTACTTATTTTTCTGACTGTACGTATGTGTGGAAGTGAAAACGCGTTCATATTTTATGCGTAATCGTGTAAACGCAGTGGCACGAAAGCAGGCCGTTGAGTGTGAGTAAACATTATCAAGATTTTTTTTTTTTTTTTTTTTTTTTTTTCCTTTTTTTTTTACAGTAATCAAGTCATTGTTATGTATCTTGCATGTGTTGCACCCTTCTGCTTCCCCCCACCCCCCACCCCAGCGATAATCATCGAATTTTAATCCCCCCCTTCCCCTTCCCCCGCCTTCGCCTGCCGTGATGGGCGTAATTAGATCGCCCTTCCGCCCACCCCCTCCCCCTTCCCTCCCCCTCCCCCCCATCGAACAGTAATCGGCGTAGGCTTATCATCGTGGCGGCCCCGTGAAGACACTCGGGCCTCGTTATTGATCCGGAGTTTAAGCCTTGACGTGAGGAGAGTTGATGGCGGGCGGCGGACGACGGTCGATGCAGTTAATTAAACGTTAGATGAGTTATTTACCGCGAGAGAAGAAGGGGGGGGGGGCGGGCGCTAATCATGCCATTATGCCCTGAACATTGTGTCACGGGAGGAGGAGGGGGAGGGGGAGGGGGTGGTGTCGACGCTGCCTCGATCGCTGGGTGGGGTTTTGACGGAGGGGGGGGGGTGGATGTTACTTGTCATTAATTTGATTTATTAAGTTTTTTTAATAGATGCCATCATTTTCTTCGGTATCACTGTGTGTTGTAAAAAGCATATAAATACCGTATTTGGACCTATTAAAAAAGTGCATCTTACATGGTGTCAGATACGGTACTCTGCTGCCGTAGAAAGTAACATAGGTTGTAGAGATGCATCTTGTGGCAACCATACGAGTACCTACGCAGGCAAGAAAAAAGAAATGTGACGTAAGCTGGAATGGAAAAGGAGGGAGAAAACTAGTTTAGACCAAACAGCTGATAGTGCTAGCTAAGTGGTTGGATAGTATTTCCACTTTTTTTTGTCGTGGATTTTCTGTTTTTCTTTTTCTTTGTGTCAATATGTCAGGTGTATTTATTGAAGTCGAATTTTGTGATAGATTGTTTGATTGTCCGATATCGGGAGAGGAGTTTGTCCATTTCAGACATCATTCTGGGCATCATTTATGAAGTGCCCTAACTACGTGTGGGAAATTATAACTATTTTAACTATTCCGCAGCACAAAAGTCGACAGGGTGCTGATTGCATGTTGCACCCTGTCACTAATGTGTTTATTTGTTATATATTAACGTATTTAATTCCTTTTACTTTTATCTTATTGCAGAAGATGAGGATGACGATTTTCGGACGACGAGCAATCGCTTCAGGACGCCCTTCGAGGTAAGTGTCCTGCTGCCTCCCTTGGGCGGGGTCGTATGCAATAGGTGCGTGTGAGTGTGTGTGTGTGTGTGTGTGTGTGTGTGTGTGTGTGTGTGTGTGTGTGTGTGTGTGTGTGTGTGTGTGTGTGTGTGTGTGTGTGTGTGTGTGTGTGTGTGTGTGTGTGTGTGTGTGTGTGTGTGTGTGTGTGTGTGTGTGTGTGTGTGTGTGTGTGTGTGTGTGTGTGTGTGTGTGTGTGTGTGTGTGTGTGTGTGTGTGTGTGTGTGTGTGTGTGTGTGTGTGTGTGTGTGTGTGTGTGTGTGTGTGTGTGTGTGTGTGTGTGTGTGTGTGTGTGTGTGTGTGTGTGTGTGTGTGTGTGTGTGTGTGTGTGTGTGTGTGTGTGTGTGTGTGTGTGTGTGTGTGTGTGTGTGTGTGTGTGTGTGTGTGTGTGTGTGTGTGTGTGTGTGTGTGTGTGTGTGTGTGTGTGTGTGTGTGTGTGTGTGTGTGTGTGTGTGTGTGTGTGTGTGTGTGTGTGTGTGTGTGTGTGTGTGTGTGTGTGTGTGTGTGTGTGTGTGTGTGTGTGTGTGTGTGTGTGTGTGTGTGTGTGTGTGTGTGTGTGTGTGTGTGTGTGTGTGTGTGTGTGTGTGTGTGTGTGTGTGTGTGTGTGTGTGTGTGTGTGTGTGTGTGTGTGTGTGTGTGTGTGTGTGTGTGTGTGTGTGTGTGTGTGTGTGTGTGTGTGTGTGTGTGTGTGTGTGTGTGTGTGTGTGTGTGTGTGTGTGTGTGTGTGTGTGTGTGTGTGTGTGTGTGTGTGTGTGTGTGTGTGTGTGTGTGTGTGTGTGTGTGTGTGTGTGTGTGTGTGTGTGTGTGTGTGTGTGTGTGTGTGTGTGTGTGTGTGTGTGTGTGTGTGTGTGTGTGTGTGTGTGTGTGTGTGTGTGTGTGTGTGTGTGTGTGTGTGTGTGTGTGTGTGTGTGTGTGTGTGTGTGTGTGTGTGTGTGTGTGTGTGTGTGTGTGTGTGTGTGTGTGTGTGTGTGTGTGTGTGTGTGTGTGTGTGTGTGTGTGTGTGTGTGTGTGTGTGTGTGTGTGTGTGTGTGTGTGTGTGTGTGTGTGTGTGTGTGTGTGTGTGTGTGTGTGTGTGTGTGTGTGTGTGTGTGTGTGTGTGTGTGTGTGTGTGTGTGTGTGTGTGTGTGTGTGTGTGTGTGTGTGTGTGTGTGTGTGTGTGTGTGTGTGTGTGTGTGTGTGTGTGTGTGTGTGTGTGTGTGTGTGTGTGTGTGTGTGTGTGTGTGTGTGTGTGTGTGTGTGTGTGTGTGTGTGTGTGTGTGTGTGTGTGTGTGTGTGTGTGTGTGTGTGTGTGTGTGTGTGTGTGTGTGTGTGTGTGTGTGTGTGTGTGTGTGTGTGTGTGTGTGTGTGTGTGTGTGTGTGTGTGTGTGTGTGTGTGTGTGTGTGTGTGTGTGTGTGTGTGTGTGTGTGTGTGTGTGTGTGTGTGTGTGTGTGTGTGTGTGTGTGTGTGTGTGTGTGTGTGTGTGTGTGTGTGTGTGTGTGTGTGTGTGTGTGTGTGTGTGTGTGTGTGTGTGTGTGTGTGTGTGTGTGTGTGTGTGTGTGTGTGTGTGTGTGTGTGTGTGTGTGTGTGTGTGTGTGTGTGTGTGTGTGTGTGTGTGTGTGTGTGTGTGTGTGTGTGTGTGTGTGTGTGTGTGTGTGTGTGTGTGTGTGTGTGTGTGTGTGTGTGTGTGTGTGTGTGTGTGTGTGTGTGTGTGTGTGTGTGTGTGTGTGTGTGTGTGTGTGTGTGTGTGTGTGTGTGTGTGTGTGTGTGTGTGTGTGTGTGTGTGTGTGTGTGTGTGTGTGTGTGTGTGTGTGTGTGTGTGTGTGTGTGTGTGTGTGTGTGTGTGTGTGTGTGTGTGTGTGTGTGTGTGTGTGTGTGTGTGTGTGTGTGTGTGTGTGTGTGTGTGTGTGTGTGTGACACCTCGTGCTTGGGAGGGAGTCGGGTTTTGGTATCGCGCTCGCCTGTTCCTGAGGTCTTGGTGGGTATTATTTACAACAGATGAATAACATGGAGACATTGATAAGGCGAAGTTCGTCAGGAGTTGTTTCTTAGGAAGATAGTGTCCGCTGTTTCAAAAGCGGGGGAGATTTCGTCACAAATGCAGTGGCGGGGGGGAGGGGGGGAGGGTACGTTTGGCTCAGATAGTTCCTTCACTTGTTTATAGACGGTTATTATTATTATTATTATTACTATTACTATTATTTGTTGTTGTGTTTGTATGTGTGTATGTACACTATTTGTCGGTATCACTGTGTGTTGTAAAAAGCATATAAATACCGTATTTGGACCTATTAAAAAAGTGCATCTTACATGGTGTCAGATACGGTACTCTGCTGCCGTAGAAAGTAACATAGGTTGTAGAGATGCATCTTGTGGCAACCATACGAGTACCTACGCAGGCAAGAAAAAAGAAATGTGACGTAAGCTGGAATGGAAAAGGAGGGAGAAAACTAGTTTAGACCAAACAGCTGATAGTGCTAGCTAAGTGGTTGGATAGTATTTCCACTTTTTTTTGTCGTGGATTTTCTGTTTTTCTTTTTCTTTGTGTCAATATGTCAGGTGTATTTATTGAAGTCGAATTTTGTGATAGATTGTTTGATTGTCCGATATCGGGAGAGGAGTTTGTCCGTTTCAGACATCATTCTGGGCATCATTTATGAAGTGCCCTAACTACGGGTCGGAAATTATGACTATTTTAACTATTCCGCAGAACAGAAGTCGACAGGGTGCTGATTCCATGCACCCTGTCACTAATGTGTTTATTTGTTATATATTTACGTATTTCATTCCTTTTACTTTTATCTTGTTGCAGAAGATGAGGATGACGATTTTCGGACGACGAGCAATCGCTTCAGGACGCCCTTCGAGGTAAGTGTCCTGCTGCCTCCCTTGGGCGGGGTCGTATGCAATAGGTGCGTGTGAGTGTGTGTGTGAGTGGGGGGGAGAGGGAGAGAGCGAGAGAGCGAGAGAGAGCGAGAGAGCGAGATATATATATATATATATATATATATATATATAGAGAGAGAGAGAGAGAGAGAGAGAGAGAGAGAGAGAGAGAGAGAGAGAGAGAGAATGTGTGCATATTAGGACCTACCTGCAAATGGGCCTTTTTCATCCTCCAGGTCAAGTCAGACACGACCATGGACGTGGGCGCGGGCGTATTGGATGCGACCCAAGGGGACGAGAGTTTCATGGGCGACGTCCCGTGGGCGGCGCAGCCAAGGCAGCTGCCGAGGATGAAGTGAGTGGCCGGTGTTTGCATTTAGAACTTTGTTTTATTTCTCATTTATTGTAGTATTTTTTATCCATGTGGAATGTATGCGGGTGGTCTTGTTACTAGCAGTAGTAGCAGTGGATGAAGTAGTATTGATGCAAATAGTAGTAGTAGAACTAACAGAATAATAGTAAGAAGCGGTGCAGTGTGCGGTAGGTATATTTAATAACAGAAGTGTAATCTTATTGTTTGAATATGTATGTGTATGCATTTTTTTTTTTTATTTACGGTTTGTCTCTTTCTTTCTTTATGTAATTTATGTGATGAAATACGTATATTTCGTCAGAATATGTTTTGTTTTTTATTTTATAAACGTCCAAGTTCATTTGGAAGTGACCGGACGCGTGGACACATGGCCTGTCATTGATGGCTGACCACCTTTGATAGACCACTTTGCATTCCACACGTCAAACTCTCCCTCCCCCCTCCCCCCCTCCTCTCCCCTTCCCTATTTCCCCCCTGTTCCTCCTTCCCCCTCCTTCCTCCCCCGCCCCCTCTCCTCTCCTCCTCCTCTCTTTCTCTCTTCCTCCCTCCTCCCTCCCTCACCCTTCCCCCCCTTCCCCTCCCCAGTCTTTCTGCTCCTTAGGAAGCCTCGCGTCTTTAGTTATGTGGTTATTGATCTGTTGTTCTCGTGGACTAAAGAGAGATGACCAGCGGCTGACCTTTCCCATGGATCACGTAAGCCTTTCAGCGATGGAATTCCTGTCTGGCTGTCCGATAACCCCCCCCCTCCTACTCCTCCTTCCTCCCCCCTTATTTCTTACCCCCCCCTCCCGCTTCTCTCTCTTCCCCTCCCTCCACTCTTCCCTTCTGCTCCTCTCTCACTTCTTTTTCACATCCTCTCCTCCCTTTCCTCCCACTCTTTTCTTCCCCGTCCTCCTTCCACCCCCTTCTTCCCTCCCTTCCCATTCCTCCCTCCCTCCATCCCTCCTTCCTTCCCACTCTTTTCCTACCCTCCCCCCCCCCCTTGGAATTCGTTGTAAATTTCGTTGCGTAGCCTTTGTTGTGGATTTTTTTTTGCGTTGCTTGTTTGGTTTAGAAGTGGGTAACGTTTACACGAGAGAGGCTGGTGAGGACGGCGGGCGACAGGATAAAGAGAGATAATGGTGAAAATGGCGACTGGTGACATGGTAGCTTATGGTGGCGATGCTGGAATGAATGGCGTGCCTGGCGACGCCCACTTCCTGCAGGAGGGGCGTTTGCTTCGGGCATCTGGAAAGGAGTTGTTTTACTCCGCGGCGACCATGAGTCTTCTCTCTCGACCATGCTTCGTTCCTCTTTACTCCAGCTTTCATTTTTCTCTCTCTCTCTTTATTCTCCTTTATCCCTCCTTCGTCGCTTTTCTTTCCTTAGACTTTTGATTTTCTTTCTCTCGTTCCCGCCCTCTTTCTGACCCTCACCTCGACTTTTCCTCCATGTCTATATCTCCTTCTCTTGCCTCCTTCTCATTCTTGCACTCTTTCCTTATTCCTCTTCTCCTCTCTCTCTTCCATCCCCTTCTTCCTATATCCCCTCCTTCACTCCCATTTCCCCCTCCTTTCCTTTTCCCGTTTCTAGCCTCACCCCTCCCCCTCTTTCACCAGTTCGCCCTCCCCCCCTCTCCCGGTTTCCTCCCTCCTTCCCCTAGTGTCTCCTCCCAAACTCATCTTCGTCCCTCCTTCCTCTTCCTCCCCTCTCTTCCTTCCCCAAGTCTTCCTTCCCCTAGTCTTTCTTCCCTTTTTCCTCCTTACCCCAGTCTCCCTTATCTCACTCTACTTCCTCTTTCTCCCTTCTCTTCCTTCTTCCTTTGCCCAGTCTCTCTTCCCACACTCTCTCTTTCCTCTCGTTTTGTCTCTATCTCCTAACCCTTCGTCCATCCCCTCCTTTATCCTTAAGCTCATCTTACTCCTCTTCCTCTTGCCCCTCCTCTTCTTCCCCTTGCTTCTCTCCTCCCCACCTCCCAATCTCCCCTCCCTCACCCTCCTCCTCTCTCTTCCTCCTCCCTCCCCACCTCCCCACCACCCACCTGCCCTCCTCCTCCTATTCCTCTCCCCTCCCCTGCCCAACGTCCCTCCTCCCCACCTCCGAATCTTTCCTCCTCCTTACCTCCCAATCTTTCTTCCTCCCCACCTCCCCAGTTTCCCTCCTCCCCACCTCCAAATCTTCCCTCCTCCTCACCTCCCAATCTCTCTTCCTCCCCTCCTCCCCACCTCCAAATCTTCCCTCCTCCTCACCTCCCAATCTCTCTTCCTCCCCTCCTCCCCACCTCCAAATCTTCCCTCCTCCTCACCTCCCAATCTCTCTTCCTCCCCTCCTCCCCACCTCCAAATCTTCCCTCCTCCTCACCTCCCAATCTCTCTTCCTCCCCTCCTCCCCACCTCCAAATCTTCCCTCCTCCTCACCTCCCAATCTCTCTTCCTCCCCTCCTCCCCACCTCCAAATCTTCCCTCCTCCTCACCTCCCAATCTTCCTTCCTCCTTCCTCACCTTTCCTCCTTCCCTCCTCCTCACCACCCAATCTCTCTTCCTCCCCACCTCCAAATCTTCCCTCCTCCTCACCTCCCAGTCTCTCTTCCTCTCCACCTCCAAATCTTCCCTCCACCTCACCTCCCAGTCTCTCTTCCTCCCCACCTCCCCACCTCCCCTCCTCCTCTCCTTCCAAGACGCGGGCAGACGAGTGGTCTTTTGTGCGTCCGGGTGACCAGACGCTGCCCGCATCTTGGCGTGAGCGGGGCCGGAGGGGTCAGGGGAGAGACAGGAGGAGGGGGAGGGGGGGGCGGGTGCGGGGGAGAGAGAGGGTGAAGGAGAGACGGAGGAAGGGGGAGAGATAGGAGGAGAGGGGAAGAGAGGATGAAGGAGAGACGGAGGAAGGGGGAGAGATAGGAGGAGGGGGAGAGGGAGAGGAGAAGAGAGAGTGGAGAAGAAAGGGAGGGAGGGGGAGAGAGAAGGTGGAGAAGAGAGGGAGATGAGGAAGAAGGAAATAAAGGGAAGAGGAGGATAGAGAGAAAGAGGATGAGGAAGAGAGGGATGGAAAGGTGGAGGGAGGGACGGGGAAAGGAGAGAAAGAAGAAGAGGCAGGGAAAGGTGGAGGAAGGGACAGGGGAAGGAGAGAAAGACGAAGAGAGGAACTGAAAGCAGGAGGGAGATGGAGAGGGAAAGGGAAAAGGGGGAAGAATGGGAGGAGAGAGGGAGGAGGAGAGAGAGAATGAAGAAAAGAGGGAAGGAAAGGTGGGAGGAGATGGAGAGGGAGAGGAAGAGAAGAAGAGAAGGAAGGGGAGAACGAGGATAAGAAAGAGAAGGAAGGAAAGGTGGAGGGAGATGGAAAGTGAGAGGAAAAGGGGAAGGAAGCTAAATAGAGGAAAATGGGAAGGAGGATGAACTTGAGGGGAAAACGATGAAAAAAGGGAAAAGGAAAAGGGAAAGAGAGGGAAGAACGAGAGAAAAGCTGAGGAGGAAGGAGAGGGAAATGAAAGAAGGGAAGAAAGGGAGGAGAGGAAGAAAATAGAAGAAACGAAAAGGTGGAAAGGAAGGAAGAGGAGAATCAGGATACGAAAAAAAATAGTGAAGAGGAGGAAGGAGAGCAGCAGGAGGAGAAGGGGGGGGGGAAGAGGGGGTAGAGGTAGTGTTAGTGGGTAGGAGGGGGGGGTAGGGGAAGGGGAGAGATGAGGGCACCAAAAGGCTTGGGAAATAGGACATGCCATGGCCAGCTGGGTCCCCCCCGCGGCTTCCCCCTTTTATGACAGCGCGGAGGGAGACTCGGCCAAAAATTATCCTTTAATTTTGTTGTTGTGGGACGAGGACGAGGACACGGTGTCAAGGCCTCGTCGGGGGTGTGGGGGGGGTTGTGGTGGGGGGCCTTCCTTTGTAGTCTTTGTTGGATAATGATGTTAATAATAATAATAATAATAATGATAATGATAGTAATATTGATAATAATAATGATAATTATAATTATAATGATGATGATAATAATGATAATAATAATAATAGTAATGATAAGGATAATGATAATAGTAAGAATGATAGCAATATTAGTTAGTTATTAGTTATGATTATTATGATAATGAGGATGATAACGATGATGATAATGATAATAGTAATAGTGATAATAATAAAAAATATAGGCATTAATAAGAATAAGAAAGAAGAATGATTATCGTAATAGCTGAAAAAAAAACAAAAAAGTTTTTTTTTTTTATATCATCCATGTGTTTGCATATTAATTCAATATTGCTGCTGTAGTTGCAGTTTCTCTTATGCCTGATATCATCATCTTCATCATCGTCGTCGTCGTCATCATTGTCATCACCATTAATAGTAGTAGTACTAGGATTGCTATTTATATTATCATGGTAATTGTTTCTACTATTACTAGTACTCTTGCTATTACTGTTATTGTTATTACTATCATTAATATTATTTTCATCGTCGTCGTCATTATTACTATTCATAGTGTTTTGGGTTTTTAGTCATCATTTACATTATTACGTAAGATTTAAAATATTGCAGGTTTAAAATACTTCCGCTAAAGAAGTTTTTTTTCCCCTGTCATCTCTGCTTACGTTGGTCTCCGAAGCGAATTATAAGACGCTTTGGACAAAATTCAATTGATTTCTTCCCTCTCTTGGTTCGAGTGTTCGGTGGTTACATTCTTCCGTGATTTGCATTTAGATGTTAGTTAGCGATAAAGGGAAAATACTTGGGACAGTTCGATATTAGTGTGTCTTCTGGTCTTCAGTCTCGGTACTTAGTGACAGTGCTTTTTTTTTCTTTTCTTTCTTCTGTCTTTTTTTCCCCTTTTATTGTTTTTTATTATTTGTTTTCCCCTTTAATGCAGTGTTCTCAATATACATTCTCTCTCTTTTCCTGTTCTCTCCTACTTCTCGACATTCCTCTGCCTCGCATCTTCGTCCCACCCTCCAGAGAGAGTCAAACAGGGCGTAGGGAGGACGAGGACGAAGGCGAGGGCGACGCCGACGACGACCTGGG